GAGAAGCTCCTGTTAACTAAAACACCGCCTTAGTAAATAATGCCACTTCCTATTCTATTTGTCAAATTCAGTTGCTATTTGATCTTTTTGTTATGCTGAGAAATCTGTCACTTCCCCCATTGACATCTCTCCTAGAGCACTTTCCTTTGGGCTAAACATGGGAAGACCAGTTAACCCTTTCTCCTTTGGTCATCCCACAGAAAGCCTATTACACTATGAGGAACCTCGAAGAGTCAATAGAACCATTGTATATTTCAGTGAGGTGAAAAAGTGGAGAGACTTCCTTTTATTAAGATTTTTTTTTTTTGTTGGTCATGGGGCCTGAACTCTGAGCCTGGGCACTCTCCCTCAGCTTTTTAGCTCAAGGCTAGCGCTCTGCCACTTGAGCCACAGCACCACTTCCAGCTTTTTCTGTTTATGTGGTGCTAAGGAATCGAACCCATGCATGCAAGGCAAGCACTCTACCACTGAGCCACCTTCCCAGCCTTTATTAAGAAATTTTTATAGAACTAATTCCCTATTAAGAAATAACAGTTTGCATCACATTATGTCTTTGGACCTTAACTTATACATACTTTTTTGTGTGTGTGTGAAAATACTGTACGGAGGGGTTACAATTACATGGGCAAGATAATGAGTACATTTCTTATCAAGCATTGTTGCCTCCTCCTGCTTTGTTTCCCTTTCCTATCCATTCCCATCTCCCCCCCTCCCCATATCCACCCCTTACCCCTCCACCCCCACCCAAAGTTGTAAAGTTTGTTTTTCCACATAACGACTTATACATCTCATTGTTGCAATGGGTCCACCTATATCCCTATTTAAACTATTTGTTTTTCCCCTTCCCCTCCACAAATTATACCAACATCAAATACAGTGAAAGCAGGAGTTACACCGTGGGGGAGGGACATACAAAGCAACAAAGAAATAATCTTATAAATCTGTTAGAAACAATCGCATGAAAGAAGAAAAACATTTGAATACACATCATAGGGTTCATTTCCCTAACATCACCTTATCTGACCTTTTCTGCTTGACTCAGACATATACTAGTTATCGCAAATAAGGGAAACCATGGGACCTATGTTTCTTTGGGCCTGGCTTACTTCACTTAATATAATTTTTTCCAAGCCTTTCCATTTCCTAAAAAATGGGGCAATGTCATTCTTTCTGATGGAGGCATAGAATTCCATTGTATATATATATATACCACATTTTCTTTTTTTTTGGGTCCGGTTGTGGGGCCTGAACTCTGGGTCTGGGCACTGTCCCTCAGCTCTCTCTTCAGCTCAAGGCTAGGGCTCTACCACTGGAGCCACAGTGCCACTTCCGGCTTTTTTCTTTTTGCTTATGTGGTGCTGAGGAATTGAACCCAGGGCCTCAGGCATGCAAGTCAAGTGCTCTACCACTGAGCCACCTTCCCAGCCCATGTGTTGGAAAACTTTCTAAGAAGCATCTGATAGATTCTAGAAGTGAACTATAACACTATGAGCTATTCAATTCTGTGTGCTTAAAAACCATTTTAATAAAATATTTTATGCTGAATCTCAAACTCAAAGATAATATGTGATTATTCACAACTTTCTCTTACAAATCTTTTAGTTTACTCCTATATTTTCTAAATTTTGTTTCTAAATTTATGACCATTTCACTTTAGAAGAACTGCTACTTAATAGCATCCAAGCAAATTAATAATATAGTTTATTGTTATTAAAAAACAAGAACTGAGAATTTTTTAAAGAACTAAGGAGTTTAATATTTTTCTCATCTTTAAGTAGTTGTACAATTCACCAATTGTACGGTTCAAGCAGTTTATGGATACAGTGCATCTTGGATCAGTGTTACCCTTTCAACATTCTCACCCCACCCCTTCTCCTACTTAATTTTAGGTTCTGTATTTTTTTTTCCTTTTAACAAAGCAGTTTATGTGTACATGCATCTTGATTTGTGTCATCGCTTCAACATCTTCACCCCCTTCAACCCACTCCTTCCCTTATATTTCTCAGTTCTGTGGTATATACAATGATTCTTGCCTGCCTTTTCCCTCCATCAGTATACACACAATCTAAAACCATGCAACCTATGTTTATTTAGGTCTGCCTTATGAACTGAGAACTTTCTGTTGGTTTATCCTAGCATGTTTTCTCTGTCATGCATCTCTCACAATATAGAACTATGTCTATATAAAGTAAATACATAATCCTTCCACCAGAATCTTAAATGGACATGAATTTCTAACTGGCCTGCTGTGTTGTTTCACCAAATTGCAAACTCATCCTGACAGTTGTAAAAGATTCAGTCTCCAAGCCAGGCACCAGTGGCTCACACCTGTAATTCTAGCTACTCAGGAGGCTGAGGTCTGAGGATCAAGGTTTAAAGCCAGCCTGGGCAGGAAAGTCCCTGAGACTCTTATCTTCAATTAACCACTAGAAAACTGCAAGTGGCATTGTAGCTCAAGTGGTAAAGCCCTAGTGTTGAGTTGAAGAGCTCAAGGACACAGTGTGCAGGCCCAGAGTTCAAACCACACGACCAACAATAAATAAATAAATAAAAATTCAGTCTCCAAAGCTCTGTCTCTTACATACAGATCTCTGGGAGAGAGGCTTGTCATTATTATTATTATTATTTCTTTTATTCTGTTAACACTTCCTCTCTACAGACTATTTGTTAAATACATGCAATTAATAATTTTAATAAACTTAGTTTTCTGGGTAACCTATCACACATTTAGAAATTTGGTTAGTGTGTCCTTGTGCTTTTAATGTTCCTAACACGCTTTATTTCCTGTAAACATACAGTCAGATAGAGAAGCTGCTTAGAGCCTAATTGGTGCTGTGTTCTTCCCATGGCATCACATCATGAAGCACTTGAATTTTCTTTTCCTGATTTCAATATTTAAGAATCTTATCAAGCTGGGTGCCAGTGGCTCACGCCTGTAATCCTAGCTATTTTGGAGGTCAAGATCTGAGGATCACGGTTCAAAGCCAGCCTGGGCAGGAAAGATCCATGAAACTCTTAGCTCCCATAAACCACCAGAAAACCAGAAGTGGTGCTGTGGCTCAAGTTGTAGAGCGTTAGCCTTGAGCTGAAGAGCTGAGGGACAGCGCCCAGGCCCAGAGTTCAGGACCCACGACCGGACACAAAAAAAAAAAAAAAGATTGAAAAGAGGCAATATGAGTTCATATTAATAGCACTAGCCATCATGGGGCCTGGGCGCTGTCCCTCAGCTCTTCAGCTCAAGGCTAGCACTCTAGCACTTGAGCCACAGAGCACCACTTCTGACTTTTTTTGCTTATTTGGTACTGAGGAATTGAACTCAGGGCCTCATGCATGCAAGGCAAGCACTGTACTACTGAGCCACCTTCCCAGCCCCAGGATTTTTTTAATGACTCAAGGGAGAATTATCTACTCAATTCTGAAAATCAATTATTTTTCTTTTAAATTTTCTTTAAAATTTCAAGCCTACCAAAAACCAGATGGAATATTATTTTTTAAACTCCTATGTACCCATTCCTTACTTCAGAAATTATCAGCTTATGTCAGTTTTATTTATACTCCCTTTATTCCACTGCCCTATAGATTACTTTTTAGCCTAACAAATCATTTATTTCCTTAACATTATCATACCTTTAAAAAACGTTCCTTAGCTGGGCACTAGTAGCTCTCACCTAAAATCCTAACTACACGAAGCCGAAGATTGCAATTCAAAGCCATCCTGAACAAGAAAGTCTGTGAGACTTATCTCAGTTAAACACCGAAAAAACCTGAAGTATATCTGTGGCTCAAGTGGTAGAGTGCTAGCATTAAATGCAAAAGCTTAGGGACAGTGTCTATGCCTAAGCCCTGAGTTCAAGCCCCAGAATCCATGCACTAAAAAAAAAAAAAAAATCCTTAATGTCTTCAAATATATAATATCTAAATGTCCCCAATCTCATAAGTCTTCTTTTTTTTAACCAATAGTTCAATCATGAACCAAACAAGATTTGTACATTAAATTTGGTTGATAAATTTAGATAACCTTCTGGAGGTTTTTTTTCATTTATTTAAAAAAATTAAAGCAGGTAAATTATTCTGTAGTTTCCTACATTCAGGAAATAACCACTTCTTGGCCAACAGACCAAGATTCTGTAGGTAGAAATCCTACTTAGTTGGCCCAAAAGTGGCTGTTTTTTCAAGTTGACCCTTTCTCCTTTTGTTTTCTCTCAGGTTCCCTGTAGTCTAAGTTGCTTCCCATGTCCTTTTCCTCCTCTCTCCTGATTTGCAGATTTTAGATCTCTTTGCTGTTTGCAAACAACAAAGAGATCTAAAATCTGGTGTTACAGTAGCTATTTGGGCTTTCCTCCCTTAGAATCAGTGTCTGTTAAGCTTCAAACAAAAACCTATCCTAAGTGTAAACGTCACCTTGTAATTATATGTATGCTACGTACTTTTAGAAATGCTCTTCCTTCCTATAGTGATTTTACTGATGAAAACTATTAAAGGTAGAAAAAAGTTTAAGCCAATCTTAAGATTTAAATTATTTTTAATTTAAGTTTAAGTCACTTAAACTTAAATTTCAATTTAAATGAGGTTGTTATTAAACTCTGTTAAGATTCTTTAGGAACTTGACGTTCCCAAAGACAAGTAGAGAAAATACGAGCAGTCTATAATCAAGATCCTGCTGTAATTCTCTCCAATGTTATTTATGTCCCCATCCTTACTGAGTAGGAACAATTTAAAAGAGAGCTAGTATTGAAACAAATAACGGTAAATGAAAATGTGTTCAGACACCATTTTATTTCTCTAAGAGACATTCTGAGATTTTATGAAATCTAAAATCTAGGTGGTGAAGAACAAGAACTGACTCTAATCTTGACTTCCCATTTACATTTTTCTGCCCTAGCTTAGGGCCATAGTTAACTAAATAATAATATTTTTAAAAGAAACAACATAATTCCCATGTTGTTGGCAACTTATTTTAATCAATTGTGGTAATATCTTATTTTCATAATACAATCTAGGATGTAAAGCAAGAATTAATAAAGCTGGTTAAGGCAGCAGGATTTTCATCTTCTACAACTTCTACCAGCTGGGAAGGAAGCAAAGCCTCTCAGGCCCTCTCTTTCCAAGATATTGCTCTTCTTAAAGCTGTATTGACTGCTGGACTATATGACAATGTGGGGAAGATAATTTGCATGAAGTCAGTGGATGTCACAGAAAAATTGGCCTGCATTGTGGAGACAGCTCAAGGCAAAGCACAAGTACATCCTTCCTCAGTGAACCGGGATTTGCAAACTTACGGATGGCTCTTATACCAGGAGAAGGTAAAGTACTCATTATGAAAGTGTAGTATTCAGCACATTGTTCAGTACATTCATAGCAAGTTAGGTGCCCCAACAATTACTTTATATAGTTCTCAAATTGAGCTTCTCATATTTGAAATATAGATAAAACAGTTTCCAAGCCAAAAAATACTTCTCTTCCTTTTAAATCTTAAAACCAAGAAAAATTTTAAGAAAAACCTTAAAAATAAGACATGTATTCTGACCATCACCTTTCTTGGGATAAAGACAGTTATAACAAGTAGGTATTGGCTAATAATGTGTCAGTTTCTTAAGTCACTAAAAGTTATCTCAAAGGGTAAAAAAAGAACTGAATGTTCCATTCCTAAATAAGAAGCTGTTAGATGGAGTTGTAGAACTTTGATGACTTGATGGTAGTTTGAGCCCCAGTGTCATGGTAGGTAATTTAATAGCAAATACTTATAGACTACAGTTAATCAACATTAGGAATCCCAGCTGCATTACCATTCCATATTTTTTTTTCTTTTTTTGTTTTTTGGTTGTGGGGCTTGAACTCTGGGCCTAGGTGTTGACCCTGAGGTCTTAAGGTCAAGGTGAGCACTCTACCACTTGAACCACAGCGCCACTTCCAGTTTTCCAGATAGTTAATTGGAGATAAGAGTATCACAGACATTCCTACCTGGGCTGGCTTTGAACCATGATCCTTAGATCTCAGCCTCCTGAGTAGCTAGAATAACAAGCATAAGCCACTAGCACCTGGCTCCATATCTTGTTTTAAACAGATAGCAGAAGTAAAGGTGGTATTATCTCTATTTTTTTATTTATTTTTTTTTTGGGGGGGGGGTCCAGTCATGGGGCCTGAACTCTGGGCCTGAGTGCTGTCCCTCAGCTCTTCAGCTCAAGGATAGCACTCTACTACTTGAGCCACAGCGCCACTTCTGGTGTTTTTCTTTTTGCTTATGTGGTGCTGAGGAATCGAACCCAGGGCCTCAGGCATGCAAGGCAAACCCTCTACCACTGAGCCAACTTCCCAGCCCTTTTTATTTATTTTTTATTTTTTGTCGGTCATGGTGCCTGAACTCTGGGCCTGGCCGCTGTCTCTGGGCTAGCACTCTACCACTTGAGCCACAGCACCACTTCTAGATTTTTCTGCTTATGTGGTGCTGAGGAATTGAACCTAGGGCCTCATACATGCAAGGCAAGCACTCTACCATTGAACCACCTTCCCAGCACTAAGTATTCATTTTTAAAGCAATAATAATAAATAATATTTAATGTTATTAAATAATATTACTTAATAAATTGCTTGTACATCGTTTGATTTGTGTTTATTACATAATTCAGCTTTATAGATAATATATAAAATGCCTTTTAATATACAGGCATTAATAATGACTTATTAAATTAATATCTCTTACAATAAGAAAGTACATAGCTTTAAAAAGTATAGAGTAACAAACGACACTTACATGAAATGCTTACATGAAACAAATGTTGGACATCTTTGGACTATAAAATTGTTTTTCCCTTTTTTCTTATATAGATAAGGTATGCCAGGGTCTTTTTGCGGGAAACAACCTTAATTACCCCTTTTCCAGTTTTACTTTTTGGTGGCGACATAGAAGTTCAACACCGGGAACGTCTTCTGTCTATTGATGGTTGGATCTATTTTCAGGTACATAGTACAACTGACTTGAATGATTAGATAAAAATTTTCAACTTCCAAAAATGCATTGAGGTAGATATGTAATATTGAAGTTTACATAATCTCTTCCTACATGATTTAATTTTATGTTGCCTGTGTGGTTTCCAATCTGTTAATTGTGAAAGTCAAATTATATTGCTATTAGCAAATGCATTTGTTGTCAGTAGCAATTATAATTTACCATGTGATAAGTACAGCAATAGCTAATTTTATTTGGATTATTCCAAATACAGTTTCCATTCTAAGTAGATACTTCAAGCATAATGAGAAATTGAATCTACCACATTACATGGATTGGCTACTAGTAGGGCAAAATTCAAACCTAGGGCCTGGTGTGCTGGTGGCTCACACCTGTAATCCTAGCTACCCCGGAGGCTGAGATCGGAGGATTGCAGTTCAAGGTCAGCCTGGGCAGGGAAGACAAGGACTTTTATCTCCAATTAACCATCAGAAAACTGGGTGAGCTGTGGCTCAAATTGGTAGAGTGCTAGCCCTGAGCAGAGAAGCTCAGGGACAGCACTCAGGCCCTGAGTTCAAGCCCCATGACTGGCTAAAAAAAAAACTCAGTCTAGGATTACCAATCCCAGAACTCATATTCAGTGTACTACGTTGGCCTCCAATACAAAGATGAAACAGATTTATAGTTCTTAATGTATCCTGTTGAGCTCTTCTGTGAAAAATTAGACTAGCCAGGCGCTGGTGGCTCACGCCTGTAATCCTAGCTATTCAGGAGGCTGAGATCTGAGGATCACAGTTCAAAGCCAGCCCGGGCAAGAAATTCTGTAAAACTCTTATCTCCAATAAACCACCAGAAAACCGGAAATGGCGCTGTAGCTCAAGTGGTAGAGTGCTCGCCTTGAGCTGAATAGCTGAGGGAAAGTGCTCAGGCCCAGAGTTCAAGTCCCACTACCAAAAAAAAAAAATTAGACTAAGCTTTGATTCTGCTCACAATAAGATTATGTTTCCTTGTAGCCTCGTCAATACTGATCAACTTAAACTCAGCAAATCGAATGTATTCTGTTATGCTACACCATGATATCTGTGTGTCTAGAACAAGAGAGGCGAATTTTACATGTAACTTAGGAAGTTTATTTAGTTCGTGCAAAGAAGCTAGAATGTTAGTAATAGCCTATAACTGGGTTGTATTAATAGTTGTAAAATGCTACAGACTAACTAAAAATCATTGAAACTAAGCGCTACCTCTACATTTTGTTGTTGTTGTTTTTGTTTTTGGGTCCGGTCGTGGGGCCTGACCTCTGGGCTGGGTACTGTCCCTCAGCTCTTCAGCTCAAGGCTAGCTCTCTACCACTTGAGCCACAGCGCCACTTCCGGCTTTTTTCTTTTTGCTTATGTGGTGCTGAGGAATCGAACCCAGGGCCTCAGGCATGCAAGGCAAGCG